GATAAGCCGGGTGCAGTTAATTCAACAATTCCATTAGGGTTGTAGCGATTGTACATATCTCTTCCCAATTGTACCTTTCTGTTCTCATTTCCACTATTATTGTACAGTATTAACTAACAACCGGTGAAAGACTTTCGGGTTTCGATTCGCCTTCTGGTTTCGGCTAAGGGTGTTGTGCTGTTAATCATCGTCCGTCTGCTAGTCTCGTTCATCGATCATCGGCTCGAACGCGTCAAATTATTGTGCCCTACTAAGTTTCGTCTTCCGACCAGATGGTGCGACTAACTGACGGACTACCGAGGATCGTGCTTTACCGAAGGTCACGTAAAACGTTCTTATTCCATAGACTGGGAGTTCTTTCATGTAGTTAAACCCTTTTCATTTAACCTTTCCACTACAATATTTGTGACCTCGCTTTCTTTTTTGAAAGCCCAAAACTCTATTTTTTGCTTTTATTATGTCGGACCACGATTCTCGCACTGACAGTTCAGAAAATGTTGTTGGTTTCTCCTTCGTAGCCCTTGATTAATCTAATTTTCACGTCTGGTTTTTACAATTGGAACCTCCTTTTCGCATACGCCGTATTACTTCGCAGTCATTAATGTTCGCACATTTCACTGCCCAGCTTCCTACCCAGATCGCAAAGGACCTTATGGATTTGTTCGATACGATTCCGACCGACGCACCTTACGATAAGTTGAAAGCCGCCGTATTAAAGCGCACCACGGCTTCCGACGAAGCTAGACTTCAACAGTTACTTTCCGGTGTTGAACTAGGCGATAGCACGCCGTCACAACTCCAGAGGCACATGGGTACGTTGGTCGGTTTCTCTAAGATCGATGACACAATTCTGCGATAGCTCTAGGCGAAATGTCTTCCAGCGAACACCTCAGCTCTTATCGATGTGTTCGCAGATGATTTGTCTTTGGACAAGCTGGCCGAGACAGCAGACAAAGTTCATGAGTGCTTTCATATAAACGCAGCACGCCACTCAGTTGAGCAGACCGCTAACGCCGATCTTAAGACTGCCCCGATTGAAACTATTTCCGAGAGGTTATCGAAGCTGGAGCTCGCTATTTCCAGCATTAGTCGCTACCGTAGTAGAAGCGCTAGACGCTGCTCTCAAAGTATACGTAGTCCCGCCAGGAGTTCGTAACGTCATTTCTGTTGGTACCATCAACGTTTTGCCGATGATGCAAGAAACTGTCCACCTGGTTGTAACCATCCGAAGGCCTTTCACAAACCGCAGCAGGGAAACCTCCACGCCAACCAGTGATGGCGACAGCTGCGTTTCGCCATTCTTATGGTTGCCTAGTTTACGTCTACGATTCCTCAACCAATTTGTACTCCTTGGTTGACACCGGTGCCGAGGTCAGCGTTATTCCTCGTGCGGCAGAAAAACGCAACCAACTTCCAACCGGACTGACATTGCAGGCGGCTAACAATACAAGATCAATACATACGGTCAGAAAATGCTGACGCTCAATCTTGGTCTTAGTCGAAGTTCTCCCTTTATTTTCTCATCGCTGACGTCCAACGTACCATCCTTGGTATGGATTTCCTTACCAAGTTCGGCCTGATCCTGGACCGGCGTAACCGCAAACTGTGCGATAGTTTGACATCTTTGTCCGTTTCGGGTAGTCAGTTTGACCAGTTCTAGCGGTCTTCGCTCTGCATTCCCTGCCGACAATATGTTCACTAAATTATTGCTGCAGTTTCCTGACCTTTACCAATCATCTGACTTTCCTGAACCTAAGCACGAAATTACGCACCACATCTTAACATGTGGACCGACACCCGACCTCGACGATTACCTCCAGACAAGCTCGCTACTGCCAAATAGGAGTTCGAGCATATGCTTCGTCTCGGTATCGTTCGTCCTTTCAATAGCCCGTGATCCCGCTTCATACGGTGCCCAAAAAGTCCAGTGGCGACTGGAAACCTTGCGGAGATTACCGGGCAAACAATTTCACCGTCCCCGATAGATATCAGATTCCGCACAATCATGATTTTTCAACTGGTTTACATGGAAGAACAATTTTCTCCAAGAATGACTTGGTACGTGCATACTACCGAATTCCGGTTGTTCCCGCCATAACCACACCATTTGGACTTTATGAATTCGTTCGGTCTACGAAATGCCGCAGACTTGCCAAAGGTCTATCGATTAAGTCCTTAGAGAACTGGAGTTCGTCTACGCCTACGTTGACGGTATTCTTGAGGCCAGTTCCAATCATGATGCGCATCTGTCACATCTCCGATCGATCTTCGAACGCTGCGCCCAGTACGCCGTTATGATCAATGTTGACAAATGTTTTTGGCGAAAGTTCTGTTGATTTTTTGGGCCACTGAATTGATTGCAACGGCATTAGTCCACTCCCCGAGAAAACCCAAGCGATTTCAGATTACCCCACGCCGCAATCCTTCAAATGTCTGTGTCGTTTTCTCGGCATGGTGAACTACTACAGCCGTTTCATACCAGATTGCTCTGGGCTACTCCAGCCATTGACCGATTTACTTTTTGTTTGTAAGCATGTTTCTTTTCTTGCTCATGAGATTGCCAGCAGTATGCACATACTGCTCGAAATGTGAGTGTAACTCAACTTTTACTCTTGGTGGTCGGATCATCTCGGCCATCTTGTGTCTATGCAGATGGTCCTCGTCAGGGAAAGTCCCCCCCCCCTAGTGGATGACGAGGCTGGACCAGTTCCCTACCTTGCAAAAGCAAGCAGATGTCCGCCAGTCACATAATGGAAACAAACCCACTTCAGTGAGGTAAAGTGAAAATATACCAATGGACTACTCGTCCAACTGTGAACACTGGTGCCATAGTAGTGATACTATAGTAGACAATTAGTGCATTTTCCTACTACACTCCCGCTGCTATGCTCTATACAATGGATCTGTTGACCATATGACCAAGACAGAGAAAGCGAAAATACAAGTTGTTATACAAATGCGATAAAAACACTACAACAGTTCGCAAGAATGCAGAGTAGATGAAAATAATAACAAGCAGTAAATCGGTAACACGGAAAATACTGGAACGAACTAACCAGTATGAAAACTTGGCCAGCAGCCGTCGAAAGAACGTGTCGTGATGCACCTCGCAAATCCCAACAAAAATGAAGACTGGAGATAGGTTTTGTAGTTGTACGTATAATCGTAGACAATGGGACTGGGACACAAGACGAGAAAACTGTAAACCTAAAGTTCCGCTTAATTCGAGACCGAAAACTACTGGCAGTCAAATTCGTCTGCAGTGTCTTTCAAACACTATCTCAATGGTAAGCCAGAAGACGACAAGCACTCGGTACATCGCAACGTAATACGTCAAACATGCAATGGACGGTAAGGGGTGGAGCTGACAGTTTCTTTATTCTACGACTCAACGGGCTCGATTAAAATGAGGGATGTCAAACGTTCAGCTTAGAATCTTCGTCGAATAGCAGCATGGTCAGATGAAGTAGATTAGCGTTTATGCAAAGCAACACCATGTTATACTTCGCCCGGCAGTGCGCGATAAGTGATGCAACACGTAACTGTGCTTATGATGAATCGCAGGAGCGTTGCTGAATGATGCGCGCCAGCTAAAAGGGGACAATTACAAAGAATCAACAGCGAACTAGCTAGTCGATGCAGAGTAATTAGTCTAAAATCATTGATCGAGGCAAATACCGGGTCAAGCTCACATCTTGTAAACACAGTTTGAACAAGTGGATAGCTGTCTAACTTGACGGATGTGTCTGCTGGTGGTTCCCTTGGAAAGGAAGCTTCTATTCGCATCGCCACAGCTCGGTCAGCGTTTGTCGGCCTGTAACACTAGTGGAGTCGCCGGAATATCCATCTTGGTAAAGGGTTATGTTTACAATGCCACCGTTCGGGCTGTTGCGACATAAAAGCGAGTCATGGCTAATTCGCGTAGACGATATGCGCCGGCAGTGGGCACTCGACATTGTGTGTTTGAGGATTGCTCGTGTGTGGTGGCAACAAGACATTTGCAACGAAGCCAGACGTGTCTTGGGTAATGCATTTCCGTCAACAAGATGGTTTTGCTGCGCCAGTTAAGATGGTTCGGTCACGTCTTGCGTATGTCAGCGGAGCGTTCACTCTATCGCGATTTGCTTACTCGTGTAAGACTGGAAGACCACGTGGTGGTCCACCATCCACCTGGCAACAGTAAATGAAATCGTTGACTCCACGTCTTGCCACCATTGGATCCACACGTCTGCCTGTTTGGGGACAAAAGCGCGAGCAGTGCCGATGGTTGGAAACAATTCATGATATGGCTCGAAATCGAAACCAGTGGAGGATGTGTAGATAACTGCCTAGATTTGGATACTTAATGCTTGACGATTAAAGACGAGGAAAAATTGGCGCGTGCAGTATAAAGTGTCCCACCATTTTCATATTGCGGCACAATGGCTGAACTATGTTGCTCACCTACAGTTAAGGTGCCATGATGCTGATACGGTGTTCAATCTTTCTTTTAGTGATTTGCACGATTGTTTGGCTCTGTCTATTTGATAGAATGCTGACTATGCTAACACGATTACCAACGGCTGTCTACTAGTATCGATGATAATGCTTCTTCGAGGGTCATCACTCTACCGCCATCATCCTGCAGATAACGGCGTCAGCCTATCCAAGGAGTCTGACCAGGAAACGACACCAAATCCATACCAATGCCGATTGAGAGACATATACGGTAGCATTTGGAGCCAAGCAGGTGGACCACAAAGACTCTAGTCTAGAAGGCCAGCAGAAGCTACCAAGACAACTTGTGCTTGCCTCCAGCTATGCACCATCCGGTAAAGTGCTTTTATCAGTAAGCGGTTACTAGGCAAAATGAAAATGAACCTAAGCCTACGCAACGGGATAGAACCATAAAAACAAGGACTACCCGTGTGTATATGGTTTTTAAATGCGTCTGGCAACTAAGTGACTACAGGAAAAGATGTAACGAAAGTTTTTAGCAGATTCAGAGAGCCACAACTCACACTTTTTGGAGCGGCCACCGCGAGCAAACTCAACACGAACTCGGGACCCGCACAAAGTCACACCGTCCAAAGCTCGCACAGCTTTTTCGGCATCGCTGCTCTTGACGTACTCCGTGAACGCAAAACCGGGGGGATTTCGCGCAATCCAAACGTCAACAACTTCGCCGTACTTCTCTAATTCGTGAAGTATGTCCTCTTTGACAACATTCTCCAAAAGACCTCCGATATATAACTTACGTCCCCTCTCTAAAAACCGTAGAGTGCCAAAAAAATGACGCACCTCTGACCGGACTTGGGGAAGCCATCTTGCGAAATCTAAGGACTACAAACACTAAACGTTAAAACAAATGACTAATAAGCGTCCTTGCAATAATCCTTTTTTAATTGAACTAAGCGTTAATGTAACTAAAAATTTTGCAAGCTAAAGGACGCTTTGTCTTTCAGTTGCGTTTGCTTGTTTTGCATTTTCAAACGGTGGAAATTTTATCCCTACTTGGAGCGCGTGAGCTGAGATTGCTTGGAAAATTTGATTAGTTACCCATGTTTATTGCAATAATTTACGGAACCGACATGTGTCCGGAATATTTAAGTGAATTGGTAATGTCTTGAGGACTCTCCAATTTGGTTTGGCAGTCAGATGCTCTCCACACAACGAAAAAGCAATAAGCGAATGTACCACACAACAGGAACGCAACAATAATGCGCTCCCCTCAGGTATATCACCACGTGTACCCACGACAACCTAGAATCCTTTACACTAGCTGGAAGTTGACATAATTTAGCGACTTGGTACCGTGGTGGTGAGCTGCTTCAGCTCCTAACATGTGATACTTCAACTCAACAATTCGCTCAATAATGAACACCCGATGAACTTTCCTATAGTTCAAGTCCCGTCTGAAACTGACTCTGTCAGAGATGCTTTTCCGTTGAGTTGAACGTCGAAAATGCGGCCAAACTAGAGGGTATTCTGCTTGGCTCAGAACATCGCCGTGTCTTAGACCTGTGCGCCGCTCTAACTCGTTTTTAAACCATGCAGATTAGTGAATTGGTAGATTAATCTCTGGCACCAGTTGCAACAGTCTTTCCTAAAGAGATACCAGCATTACCGTCGTCATCGGTTAGAATGCTCGGGACTGGCACTCTGCATAAATCCCGAGGTATAAAAACACTCGGCCAAGAAGAAGCGTTTCACAGAGAAGTGTTATCTTCCAAGACGTTGCTGAACATGCTGTTGATATTTTCAAGGTTACCATTTTGGACGGCTATCAGATGTTTTAAAGACGCGTTACTGAATTGTTTCCCCCCGGTTTTCTTCAAGGTACTGTTCGTAGATTGCCCAAGTTGTAGAGCTTCCTTGTCGGCACACTAAATCCCCAAATTTGCCCACTTAATAAATACATAAATAAATAAGTAAATAGCAAGTTCTCGGTAAAACGAGGCACACCTGTGAAGGCGTGCTCAATTAAGCTTACAAGCCTAAATTCTTTGGAATAGTAAAGCTTCTCGTTTTAATGATAAGCATAGCCCTGTGGTTCCATCTGCCCTGGTGGAGAGCAAGATGCTGCTTCACTCTGTTTTCTAACTCCATAGCAGTTTTGGTAGTGTCCAGTCCCTAACCTCCACTGGCAGACAGGCTTTGACTAAATGTCGCCAGCAAGTAGCTCAAAGCCAGGGTGATGTTGGTAAGCACGACCTTTGGCATGTGGGTTTTCAGGAGCTTTAGCAGTGTCGAGTTCCGTCCCACCCATACCCATTCACGCAGCAGATGACCCTGGTACGGTTGCACCGAGTTCTGCTAAGTTATATGTCAATGTTGGTAACATATGGTATAAGGTGTACGTGTTGGATTTACTTTTTTATATATTTTGTCGATATACCTGCTTTCACTTTAACGTGGTCCTCCTGAAATATCACGGGAGGTGAACCAAGGTTACCTGGCTACGCGCTGTTAGGTCGATCGCATCGTTTGTCGTTAATGCGGAGGTGTTGTACTTCCTATAAGCGCTACCTCAGGCGTGTTGAATACTTTCGTCTTCCCGCATTAACGCCAAACTGTGGATGCGCTATCAGCTGTTGTGTGCACTTCCTCTGCCCAGCTTATAAAGTAATCCTGCATATAAGTTCTGGAAATCCCTACAGAGCGGTTACAGGTTTTATTTGCACCCATGCTCCGAATAGGCGTCGGGAATGGGAGATGTTAACTTCGAGGTCGGGTGTGTGGATCTCATGAAAGACTCTAGTATATTTGGTAGATTTGGCTCAAATCGTCTTAAATAAATACATGAACAAATACACTTTTATTCTCGACAACGCGAGGCACACCTTTACAGGCATGATCATGTTAAGCTAACACAGTATGATCAAACGTACCACCATACAGGTTTGGCATAACAGCAAATGTGTGTGTATGGATGTACATACATATATAAGTTTGCACGAATTTAGCTTTGTCGTTGGTGATTGTGACGGTACGGCGTCATGTATGACGGTTTGTATGTGTCAGAAATGTCGGTGTAAACGATTGATGTCCATGGTTTGGATAGTGTTTTCTGGAGATCCAGGGGACAGTGACTAGCTTTTCGCGAGTCACATTCGCCACGGCGCAATGGTGACAAGCAGACATTTGTGGCCAGGCAAAAAAAAACCCACCACTGTTAGGCCACAACTGCTACATGCACTCTCCGCTGAACTACCTGTCGCCATCTACTTGTCAAAGCCTCACTGTCTTCCTGTTCCATAACTTCCAAAGATTTATCCGAACCCCAGATGTTTAATGCAGGCGCTTCCCGTTGTACAACTACCTCATGGGTCACACCAGCCTGCGAGCACTTTATTCACATCGTTGCATGCACCTAATGTGTAACATACGTCTCCCTTGGACCTAAATCATCGTATTTCTTTATACGAGTTCAGCAAATTCGCATGGGCCAGGGTGATGTGACACTAGGAAGCACGGTATGAGTATGTGCTTGTGGAATCTGGATTTTTTGCTATTGTTGTAAGCCGCGAGTGGGGTGGATTGCGTTTTGCCTATAAGCCTGGTAGCGATCCGATCGCACGGTAGGGCCTCCACTACCGACCCTCGACGCAGCTTTATTGGTTGTTTGTTTTATGCAGGATTCCGGCTCCACCAATGCCACACCAACCTTTGATGGGCCTTATCCTACCTTTTCCGGCAGACTTGGATGGTTTTATTGCGCCGCGCACCGCTGCGCGCCAGCGGGATACTGGAAAAGTTTTACTTTTAATTGGTAGCAACATCTGCACTTATTTTGGATCCATACGTCATATCTTAGCATTGCCGTTCTACTCATCGAAATACTTTACCTTTTTCCCAGCAAGCTAGGATGACCTAATACAAGAGTCCCAGTGGGTGCCACCGCTGGATTAATTGATCTCCAAACCCGTTGGATTGTTTCAGCGCATACAGTGGATCCTTTAAAGTAGGGTTCGCGGAAAGAACCAAGAGAGTCTGTGTTAGAAAGAACAACACCTAGGTCAATAGTACCTACTAGTAAGAACAAATAAAGGATAAACACCTTCACTTAACCGGAGAAATAAAAATTTACATAAGATATAACCAAAACATATCGGACTAAAGTGTGATCTCACTTAATCCATTAAAGCCTCCGTTGGTATAGCTAGGACAACCGATTAAAACATACTGATATTCTGCCCAGGTGAAAAATAATTGTGCATCATATTTTGGGACACACTACTTTGCATCCCTTTGAAGCTTTCGCATTGATTTCGGGTGTCTTCATAAGATAAACTTAGCAGACAATACCTAACAGGTATGTGGTTTCTTCGTTGAGTGCTGCTCCAGTATGCCAGATAACATAAAAGAATAATAGTACAAATTAGGATTATCAAGGTATACAAAAATGTGGGAACTGGTTGTCCACCCAGCATTGCGTATGGCGCATGAGGGGTATTGTAACCAAGTAAAAGCTAAGGCACACACAGTTGGCCAAAGCAAGGCATAGCGGTGATCATAAACTCCTGGAAATCCAGCTGACCGAGGTGACAGGGGTCTCTCCGGCTTCCGGTCAACATTCGTGTCAGGTTAATGGAATATGCAATAGTGAAGGTCAAGCTGACCAACAGGGCAGTGGAATAAGATCTGGGATTTCCAGCCTGCCTCTGCCATTGGTTCTAATACTGAATAACATTTGTATAGCTCAGCTAAAGGTTAAAAGAGCTGGAGCCAACAGAGCGTACTGTGGCATGCAAAATGTGACAAAGTGGAATGCAAGGTGCCCGTTCCAGCGAACTATGGGTCTACTAGTGGTCATTTTAGCAACCAGTAGGAGCACGCTTTCCGGCATTATAAACACAAAAGTATAGAAAGCATATACATAGTGAAATCAGCAACTGTCGATGATGATGTCCGCAGAGGTACATCTAATGCAAAGGCTGTTATGAAAATAAGTTACAGCATTCATATAAGAACTTCCGTTTGAACGGTATTAGCTTCCAGGAACAATAGCCGGGCCATGTTGACTATCGTACCTGGCTTAGGTCTTGTAGATTGCCGTCAATAAACAGATATGAAAGGTTGTATTTTTCTTCCATCTTCGCAGCCTAGCATCTATTAGTGGCAACAAGCCCCTGGCAGTTACGAATGCTCATGAAAGTACATCCAAAGCAAAGGCAGATAGGAGAAAACGTTTGGAGAATACTTGTGATAACCTTTGAATGATTTGTATCAACCGCCACAATAGCCTCTGAAGCTTCATACGAGGCTTAGGTCTGGTAGGACGCTTATACCATATGTACCTCAAAGGGCGTAGGCTTATTTCTTCTTCACGTGCACGGATTTCAAATTATTTGGCTAGGGGTATTGGATAAAATGAAAACCATGAGACGCAGTTGGATATAAGATGCAGTAAATGAATTCCGCCTTCGCGGATAGATTTTTCTTGCCTCGTGGTCTCAGATTTGCGAATTGGCGTCTAAATACTGAGGCTGTGCCATTTGTTGGTCTTGTTTGAGCAGCAATCATGTGGCCATTAAGGAAGACAATGCCGAGTAGCCCTTACCGGCTGCTTTCGTGAATCTTTCTACCCTTCCCATAGTGCAGTCTTAAGTCAGAATTATCCGTAGGCCAACACAAAGCGGGGCAAAAAGGCGGCAGTGAAGACGAGAGTCATTTTGTACTCGGAATTCTATGCTTCCAACCTAGAAAATGTGTGCGACAGATACCGCTAACCTCTCTTAAGCCTTCAGACGGTAACGACACTTGTTGTGGATTTGCAATACATCTTAGGCTGCCTCAAGGTACATCGTCGTCAGCTTCAAAGAAGTGGTCTTACGAAGCGAAGATAT